CCTGCTCTGCAGGAAGCCTGCTTCTCCCTCTCCCACTCCCCCTGCTTGTGTTCCCTCTCTCACTGTGTCTCTCTCTGTCAAATAAATAAAATCTTTTTTTAAAAAGTGATTAAAAAAACACTTACATTGGCAAAGTTATGGAGAAAGGGAACCCTCATGCACTGTTGGTGGAAAGCAAACTGGTATAGCCACTCTGGAAAATAGTAAGAAGTTTCCTCAAAAAATTAAACATAGAACTACCATGTGATCCGGCCATGCCATTTCTGGGCATGTAGGCAAAGGGAATGAAAACAGAGTATCAAAGAGACATCTGCCCTTCCATATCTATTGTAGCATTAATTCACAATAACCAAGATATGGAAACAACTAGAAATGTCCCTCAGTGGGTGCACGGATAAAGATGTGTGTGTACACAATGCAACAGTGTCCAGCCATAAGAAAGAAGGAAATCCTACCATTTGCAACAATAGGGATGGACCTTGAGGGCATTATGCCAAGTGGATAATCCAGAGAGAGACAGATACTGCACCATTCTGTTTATATGTGGATCGGGGGGGGAAAAAAAGGTCAAATTCAGAGAAAAAGAGAGTATGATGGTGGAGGCGGGGAGTGCGGAAATCGGGAGAGGTTCACCAACTTGCACCTCTTAGTTGAATAAGGTCTGAGGATCTCACGGTGACCACAGTTGCTTTATACTGTATAACTGGAATTTACCAAGAGAGCAGAACTTACGTGTTCTCACACACACGAGATGAATATGTGAAGTTATTAACTGGATGGGGGACCCCTTCCCAGGGTATATGTTTATCAAATCACAATGACGTACACCTCTAATGTCTTACAATTTTGTATGTCAAGGATACCTCGGCGCAGCTGAGGTCAAAAAAGCAAACCCTTGAGGAACTCTAGAGTCTTTTGAACGCCAAGGAGAGAAACATTCAAACTGGTGGCAGCGCCCCGACGCCCGTGGGCTCATTCCTCTCCACAGGGTCTCGTGAGGGGTCTCAGGGGAAGGCCCTCTCCCGCTCCCCGCCGGCGGGCGGCTGAGCAGTTCTGCGGGAAGCACCTGCCGCCGCGCTAGCTGGCCGTGCCCAGGCTGGCCTCGCACACCCAGCGGTAGGCCCTCTGGCAGGCATCGTCATTCCACTTGCCGTCGGGGTGGAAGTGGGCGCAGTCCTCGCCCCCACCCAGTCCATGCCCATGCCAGTCATCCGGCTGGCCTGGCTTCCAGTTCCTGCAGGGAGAGGACCAAAGCCAGCTGGGACGCTCAGAGGGCACCCTGGGGGTCCGGGAACCAGGTGCTGAGGGCCAGAGCCTGGAGGAGCCAAAGTGCAAAGGCGGGAGAAGGGCACAGAAAACCAGGGCACACTCACTTGAAGTTGGTCTCGTAGTCTGTCCCGTCCACCCATTTCCAGACTCCTTCAGGGTCACTGAGGCCCATCCAGGTGTATGAGCCGATATGGCCCTGCACAAAAGTCTGGGAGGACAGAAGGGCAGGGGTGACGTCTTCCGAGCCTGGCCAGCTCCTCGCACTTGACGCGTTCATGCCATCTGCCGAGGTTTGGGATGTTTATCCCAATGCCCCCGCCCATCCAGTCTCTGAAGGTTGGGGGGGCTCAGCCGTGGGGCGGGGTCAAGCTCCCCAGGTGATTCCAACCTGCAGCCAAGGCTGAGAACCGCGTCCTTAACTGCGACGCGTCGTGGGACCTGCGCACCAGCGGCACTCACCTGCTCCTCTCTGGAGTTGATGACCACCAGGTGGGCGCTCTCCAGCTGGCAGTACCTGTCCGCGTCCTCCCAGGTCTTCCCGGAGCCGGAGCCGGAGAACCAGTAGCAGCTGCCCTCGTACTCCAGCCAGTTAGGGGGGCAGCAGGTATTTTGAGAGCCTGCGGGGCCAGGGGTGGGGAGGGTGTGAGACGCCCGCGCTGGGACGAGCAGGAAATGGAGCCCAGCACCCGCACACCCCTCACCGTTGCTCTTGAGAGCGGCCATCTGGCACGTCAGGGATCTCAGGTCTCTGGCCAACTGCTGGACCCGAAGGAGGGTATCGGAATGACCTGGGACACACGCAGATGGGCAGTGCAGCCAGTCCCCGGTAGCCCGATGTCCCTGCGGGGGGCCGGCCCCCGAAAGCTCGGTGCCCTCGCACGCACGCCCCGCCCCGGGTGCAGGGGAGCAGGGGGGGAGAGCAGGGGGGGAGCGAAAGGGAAAGCGCGGGGTGGGGGGGGTGCAGGGGTTACTGACCTGCTTTGAGCTCCTTCTGCTCCTGCTCCAGCTTGCTCTCCAGGGAAAACACCTTGTCGTTCAAGCTACGGGCTGAGGGGGAGGGCGCTCAGCACCCGGGGCTGCTCCCACCCCCACCTCTGCCCCGAGAGCCCTCGGCTCCTTCCACATCTTCTCCTGAAGGGTCTCTCACCTGCCTGCAACCCCTGCTTGTGATTTTCCACCTCGGCTTTCAGAGATGTTATCACTTCTTGCAAATGGCCACCTGGAGGACACGGGGACTTGGTGGGTGCTCAAGACTCAGCGCCCCCCTTCCCGGCGGTGCCCCTGTCCGGAACCCCTTCTGCGCCGGGCTTACCCTGGGATTTCAGTGCCTGGACCTCCGCCACAGTGTTTGCAGTGAAGTTGCTGAAAGTTGCTCTCAGGGTCACCAGGTCCCTCCGAAACTTGGAATCTGATGGGGATGGGGCAAGCAGTGCTGGGATGTATCACGTCCTCTGTGAGCTGGTGCTGAGCAGGGCACCTGACGCCGTGCCTTTTCTCTCTGGGTCCACACATGACCCAACCCAAAGGGACAGGCACTATCGTTACCCAGTATCCGGGATGAGGAAATGAAGTTCCCAGAGGTTAGGCCATTTGGCTACGTTATCCAGCCGGTAAGTGACCGAGCCGGCAGCCATCCTACGGACCACTGTCCCTCCCGGCGCCCCACCCGCCCCGGCGCCCCATGCGTTCAGAGACCCTCACTCTGGGAGCCGATCACACCGATGCCGACCAGCAGGAGGAGGCTGAGGCCCAGGGAGAACAGGAGAGGCCGGGGGCCAGAGCAGAGCCAGTGCAGGAAGCACAGAGGAGGACGCAGCCCTGTGAGAGAAGAGGGGGTCAGGGCAGGGGACTCGGAGCAGGAGAGCCCCTGGGACCTGTCGGGGAGGAGGGCTGGCGCAGGTGTTGCTGGTGGGAGGCTGCACCAGGACACTGGGGGGCAGGGGACGCCCAGGCCTCTGGCCCCTCCTAGACCAGCACAAGTCCTCAGTCACACGGCCCCTCACGCCTGTGGGGACACACGTACACAAAGACCCACGGAGGGGGGATGATGGTGATGCGCAATGTCCCATCCACAGTGGGGGGAGGGGGCAGAAGGACCCAGACCAAGCTGGGGCAGCCAAGCCCTCCAAGGCTCCCATTCACCTGCACGGTCAGGCTCACAGGTGAGGTTTCCTTCCAAACCCAGATGCTCCTCCCCCAGAGAATAGGAACCCAGGACCCTTGCGGCCCTCCCTGTCCTTGTCGCTGTCTTTCTCAGGACCTTGAATCCTCTTCAGGGTCTGGGGCCAGACCCCCTCAGAATGGGGGACCCCCCCCACTACACACAGTAGCGGGGCAGATATGACATCACAGCAGGAATCCTCTGCACAACGAGGAGGGGATCTAAGGAGGGAACGTTTTCCCTTCCACTTACCATTTCTAGACCGCTGGCTTTGCTTCTCGCTCTCCAAGTGCTGGAATTTTTCATACTGCACTGACATGCCTGGACCGAGACTGGGGCCGTCGGAGCTGAAAGGCGGGCAGGGCCGGCTGCCAGGCAGAGGCAGGAGCTGGGCACAAGGGGGAGGCTGGGACTCCTTGGAGCCGACGTCTGGACCCGAGTCAAAGGAAGAGATGAGGCTCGGGTTGAGGATGAGCCCAGGGTGGAGAGAGGCTTGGGGATGGTTCTGAGTGTACAGGTGAGGTTGGAAGTGGGGTCGGGACCGGTGTTGGGTGGGGGGCATGTCGAGCTGGGGATTGAAGGTGGAGGTAAAGTGGGAGTTAAGCGTACTGCTAGGACTGGGTCCTGGCCCCGAGGGGCATCTCCTGCTGGGGTGGGGTTGGGACTCCTATCGGAGCCATGGATGGGGTTGGGCTCAGCCTGGCGCCAAAGCTGGAAACGAAGTCCGGGGTCAACTTTGGGCTGGGGCTGGAGTGAAGATTCAAGTTGACTCTGAGGTCAGAGCTGTGGTTGGGACTCAAGGGGGAACTGGGTGAGTATTAGGGCCAAGCCTGCAGCCAGGGTGGGGGCTGGAATAGGGCTGAGTCTGCATCCTCAGTTTGTGAGTGAGGTTTGGCCGCCATACTTCAAGCCCAATCCAGTGAAGGGAATGGAGGCTGAAATCTGCACTTGGCCATTCAGTCCCCGAGCTGCCCCTCACATTTCCTCCCATTCACTCCCACCTGAGACCCACAGTCCCCACTCCGGGCTCTCCCTGACATCCTCCCTGTCCCCTTGGTCTCCCCTAAACACCCAGCCCCGTTACCTGCAGAATGTCCAAAGGCTGTGATTTTGGGGTTCCTCGTACAGCAATGACCAGAACTGGAAAAACAGGAAATACTGGAGAACTGAAGTGGGGGCAGCGAGGGAGGAGTCACCTAAGTGACCAGAACCCAGGAGGCTGTCAGCTGGGATCTGATGTGTCCCCGTCTTCAGGCGGCGAAGTGCAGAAGGGGTTGGAGCGGGGACTCAGGCAGAGATCGCGCGCGGTGGGGGGTGGGTACGAGGCAGCTCTGCTCTCTTCCTCCGGGGTGTATCTACTCCCTTTCCGCTCCTCTGGAGCCCCCCTGACTTCCTCATTTTTACCATTCGGGAGAAGGGAGCCAGGCCAGAAGGGACCAGAGATGCGATCTGCCTATCACCTCTGCCCACACCCCCTTTCACTTCCTGCATCTGAAGTTCCCGGAACTGTGTCCCCAGCACCGCACAGTTGGGTTCAGAGGAGCCCATTTCTCTGCTCTTGCTCAATCCCACCGAGTCCTGGCTCATGAGCTTCCCCCGGGGGACCTTGGCCACCATGCTCGGAGCAGGAGGGAAGAGGAGAGGGCACAGTAGGGTTTCCTGGCCGGGAAAGGAAGCTAGGAGCCAGGAGAGGAGAAACTGATCAAAAATCAAACCTGTAACAGGGATGGGGCCAGACCCGTGCCAGGCATTAACTGTTCGGTTCCCACGAGAAGCCTGGGAGGCACTTTGGATGGTGGGCTGAGGCTCGGAGCCGGGGTGTGGGCTGCCCAAGTTCTCGGGCCTGCTGAGCTCAAGGGCCAGAATTCAAGCCCAGCACCCCCTGACACCCTGGCCTGGGAGCTCTGTACGAGGACCTTCTGCAAGAAAAGGAATCCACCAACTCCCATAACCTGCAAATCTCATTTCAGGGGCTGCCCAGAATTCACACATACAATCTTCTTCACAGGAAGGAACTTTAGTGTCTCCAAAGGTAGAGAAGGAAAGCAAATGCATCTTAGATTATATTTTCTATATAAATGGGATTATGTTCTATTTGCCTTTTTTTTAAGATTTTATTTATTTATTTGAGAGAGAAAGAGCAGGGGGGAGGGGCAGAGGGAGAGGAAGAAGCAGGCTCCCTGCTGAGCAGGGAGCCCAATGCAGGACTCGATCCCAGGACCCTGAGATCATGATCTGAGCCAAAGTCACACGCTTCACCGACTGAGCCACCCAGGCGCCCCCTACTTGCTTTTTATTATTTGTTTTCGGATCAGTATTTGTCCCAGGTTGGGTTTTTGGAAGCCAACGCTGAGACTGAAGTTGGGGTGCAAGCTATGTTTTAGGGACCAGCACCTGAGAGAGGAAGGGGAAGAAGGAGGAGGGGGCAACAGGAAAAGGCACACAGCTCTGCAGGCCCCACAAAGCTGCAGCCAACCCACCAGGCGCTCTGGGCAATCAAGCGCTGTCTGTCCGAGCCGTTGGCACCAGGCTGAGCTGGGGCCTTCATAACCCCACCTCGCTCGGGCACCAGGGGCCGGCCACCCCCGCAGGGCCATGACCTCGGGGGAGGTGGCTGTCTGCACAGGTCACAGTCCCCACAACTGGGCCCCAAGTCCTTCCCAGAAGGAGGTAGAGGCGGGGGATGGGGAGATCTAGGGAGCTCATATCTGTGTCCGCAACAGTGTTGCATTGTACTCAGGTGGTAATCGGGACATACTTGCCATTTGTGCATTGTTGGATCTTTCCCACAGAGAACATTCACTCTGCTCACACATACGTGCATTTACTCATCCATTCAGAAGGTACTTCCCGAGTGTCTACAATATGCCAGGCGCTTTCCTACAGAAGACGCATACTTCAGAAGCGAACAAACTGACAAAAAAAGGCCAGACCCTCACAGAATTTACATCTTGGCAGGTGACAGATTAAATAAATGAGTGAAATCTATATAATGTCACCTGGTGACATTGGCAGTGTCACATGGTGACATATGGAAGAAAATATAGCCGGGAAGTGAGATAGGGTCAGTTTTTAACAAGGCCATCAAGAATAGGGTGTCAGGATTGGCCTTACTGGGAAAGTAACATCGGAGCAAAAGTCCCAAGGAGGTGAGGGAGCGAGTCATGAGGAGCTCCAGGAGCAAGAGGGTTCCAGATGAAGGCACAGCAAGTGCAAAGGCCCTGGGGTGGAAGAATGTCTAGTGTGTACAAAGATCATCCATTTGCCAGCGATGCCAGAGATTTTACAGAGAAGTGAGCTAGAGAGGCGAGGAGTAGATGAGTCACAGAGGGAAAACGTAGAGCACCAATTCTTTAGGGCCCTCAGACTATAGTTAAGGATTTGTTTTTACTCCGAGTTAGAGGAGCAGACTGTGGAGCGGTTGGGGCAGAGGAGAGAATGAAAGAGAGGAGGGTGGAAACCGAGAGTCCTGATGAGGAGCTATGATGATATCTGGGTGACAGATATGCCCGGACACGGACACACACACACACACACACACACACAGTAGTTCTCCTTCCAGTCCCCAAAATAAAGTAAACTTAGAGCATTTCCTGTAAATTGCTGACTCCTTAGGAAAAAAACAGCTTTATCCCTGAATTTTGCAATGCCAATGCCTAAAGATAAGTCACGACCTTTTGTGCCTGTGATAATCGTGCTGTTTTGCCATCAGGAGCAGACCGATAAAAAACTGTTCACAGCGATCACAGTGCACAGCTTTCCTCCAAACACCTCCTGTGGTTTTGTTCCGTAAGCCTGTCCTCCCAAAGGCTGACGGCCTCGCGGCTACTTTGCAAGCAACCTTCTCTGCTCTCTTAAATGCTTTTGCCTCTGAGACTTCTTTCACGGTGAATGATCCCAGTCCTTCGTGGTCCTATCTTCACCGGGTCACCGCGATTTGCCGACCCTTACGGTCTCACGGGCTGCAGGCTCTGTCCTCTCCCCTCCCCATTGCAAAGCAGCCCACTTCCCTTCTTAATCAGCATCAACCAATCATCTCCAAAACACAGTTACCTCTACCCCCTACCTAAGTGGTGATTCTGAGGAGCCCAAATCAGGCAGGAGTCAAATGGTATCTTCAAATTTCAACAGGACCAAGGCTGCTTTCCCTTGGGGTGGGGGGTGGGGCAGTCCTTTCCTTGGGCACTAGGACTTCCAAAGTCCAATGATCCCATTGTGCCGACGAAGAGCAAACGCTCCTCCCGTGGATTGTCGGGCATCGGTGAGAGGAGACGCCACCCTCCCCTGTCCCTTGGTTGGGAGGTGGCTGTGGGGAAGATGGCGTCTTGCTGGCCGCGGATTGGAGGTGACTCCCCCACGGGTGGCTCAGGCATGAGAGGTCAGGGAGAGGTAGTAAACTAATAAATTTACCCCATTTCCAGCCCCCGAGCCCAGAGACAGCCATCTGATGAGTGGTCTTTTCAGACATATTTCTGCACGTATTTGTACACCTGTCGACATATATACGCTGATGGGGTGGGTTGGTGTTTTCTTTTACACAGATTTTTCTCCATAATATGTGTCTGCCTAAAAATGGGTCTTGAGGTTTTCCCACGCCACTGCCCACAGCCGTCTGATTAAAGGTGCTCCAGAGCATACACGTGCCAGACCTTATCTAATGACCCCCTTGGCGATGCATTTTTGAGACGCAGCATCTTTGGCTTTTATAAATAATGCTGAAGTGAACAGGCTCATATATGCCTGTTTGTGCTAAGAAGCAAATAATTGCTCTTGCTTACATATCTAGAAGTAAAATGAGTGGAAATACCGATCTTAACATTTAAAACTGTATGGACACTGCCAAGGGGCCCTAAAAAGACATCATCAATTCATCTCCCCACCATGTATGGGGATATTCATTTATCCACACCTTTGCAGACAAAACTGTACATTTTCGCCAATATGATGTTCAAGAAATATCTTCTGTCTCATTTCAGTTAGCACCTACCTGATGACTGGTTTGGTAGAAACAAAGCTTTGCTTTATATTTTAGTTTTAGAAACTGTCAGAGACACTTTAATTAAAGTTTATTATGAGCAACCACAACTGGGAGACAATTGTGTAACAGCTATTCTAAAACAGTACACATGGGGGGGCGCCCGGGTGGCTCAGTCGGTGAAGGGTCTGTCTTCAGCTCAGGTCATAATCCCAGAGTTCTGGGATCGAGCCCCGCATCGGGCTCCCTGCTCAGCCGAGAGCCTGCTTCTCCCTCTGCCGCTGCCCCTCCCCCTGCTCGTGCTCTCTCTCCCTCTCTCAAATAAATAAAATCTTAAAAAAAAACCACAAAACAATAAGTACACTTCAAGAAAATGACTATTTCCCACCTTGGCAATGCGTTATGACTTCCCACCATTATCGAAATATTTCTCAAAAACCTTGATGTCCATACAAACAGAAAGATTGACACTTTCTACAGGAAAAGACAGGCCTCTGACTACGATGATTTGACAAGAAAATCCTTCTTTCTTTCTATTAAATGGCTAAAAAGCCAAAGAAATCCGTCATAATAGAATGCAAAGCACGGTTGAATTTAATCTCACATGGAGACACTTGCCCTAACTTGTGCATTCCCAAATCATTGTTTAGCTCCGTAGGTTGTGAACACCCAGGTTCTCAGAATAAAGCACTCATAACATAGCATCGCTATTCTAGGTCCAAAGTGATGGGCTTTTTTTTTTTTTTTCTGCGTGGACTTTATATTTTAAAACAGTTTTAGGTTCACAGCAAAACCGAGCTG